CTTGCTCGGACGTCCAACCGTGATACTGCTGGGCCCGCGGTGCTGTCGTTACCCCAGATGTGGCCAGGATCTCTGCTTTCAGCTGTGGGTAGTCTGCCGCAGCCTCTTCAGGCAGATCATGGTAGGCCTTCTGGGCCTCCCCACACAGGAATGGGGCAAGGATGCCAGACCACTGATCTCGAGGCCAGGCCTCCCGTAGGGCTGTCCTCTCAAAGGCCAGAATGTATGCCTCTACATCATCCTCCCGTGTCATTTTCTGCAGCCAATGGCTGGCCCGTATGAGCCACGTCCCATCATGGCCGTGATTCAGCTCTGTAAGGGACTTTACCTGGTTTACCAGTTCCCGCAACATAGCTCGGTCTTGAGCAGCCTGGTCCATCAGCAGGCAATTAGTCTCTTGCTGCAGCCGCCCTGCCTCCTGTTGGGCGGCTGCCTGGACATGGGTAGCCTCCTGCTAGGCCGCCGTAGCTTGTATCAGTGCCCGCACTACATCATCCATTGTGGTGAAAAAAAATAAACCCTCTCTTCTTTTTTTTTTTTAAATCACCCTCCTTCTTCCACCACGCTGTGCACCCCAAGATCCCCCCTCCCCCCCGACACCAGTGTGACAAAGTTCCTTCTCTATCTTGGTGGGTCCTGCGTTTATTGGCAGATTTTCTTGCCTCAGAGATTCACCATGTGGGTTGGGGAACAGCCCAGAGACCTTCCCCTCTGGAAGAACCCACCATCCAGGTCAATTGGGAGGTTTGGGGGGAACCCGGGCCCGCCCTCTACTCCGGGTTCCAGCCCAGGGCCCTGTGGACTGCAGCTGTCTATAGTGCCTCCTGTAACAGCTGCATGACAGCTACAATTTCCTGGGCTACTTCCCATGGCCTTCTCCAAACACCTTCCCTATTCTCACCACAGGACCTTCCTCCTGGTGTCTGATAATGCTTGTGCTCCTCAGTCCTCCAGCAGCATACCCTCTCACTCTCAGCTCCTTGCGCCTCTTGCTCCCAGCTCCTCACACTCGCACCACAAACTGAAGTGAGCTCCTTTTTTAAAAATCCAGGTGCCCTGATTAGCCTGCCTTAATTGATTCTAGCAGCTTCTTCTTAATTGGCTCCAGGTATCCTAATTAGCCTGCCTGCCTTAACTGGTTCTAGCAGGTTCCTGATTACTCTAGTGCAGCCCCTGCTCTGGTCACTCAGGGAACAGAAAACTACTCATCCAGTGACCAGTATATTTGACCTCTACCAGACTCCTGTACCCCACTGGTCTGGGTCTGTCACAGTGCCTATTACCCCCACCCCCGGCCCCATTTTTCACACTCGCTGCCTGGTCACCCTACACCCCACTCACCCAGGGCATGGTCTCCATGTGGAGGTGGGCCCTCACCAGCTCCCAGCTGGCAGAGGAGCGGCTGGGGCTGGGAGAACACATTAGTCGGGCTAGTGGCTGGGGTGGGCAGCCCCTACAGTCCCTGCCCCTGCTCCATATGTCGTCATGCTAGGTAACGGGGGGCACTCGCTGCCGGGGCAGGGCAGTGGGGACCTCCCAGGTACTCCAGCCAGGCTCTGCTGGTGACACTTGCCCTGCTGGGGGGACTTTCAGGGCGGATGAGGCAGAGCGGCCGCTGGGATCCTGGATCTCCTGCTGGAGACAGGCAGGGAGCTGATATCCCAGGATCTTGCTTAGTTCCAGCCCTTTAAAGTGGCTGTGGGCAGAAAACGACTGTGAAAGGCTGGGCCAAATCCATCCCTAGGGTAACCTCACTGCAGATGGTGGAGTTACCCCAGGGAGAGCCAGGCCCCATACTGACAGCCCCACTATAGTCTCCCTTGGGAGGGGCCAGTGGCAGTGAAGAAAGGCTGGGGATGCCAGGGCTCAGCAGCCAGGTACATTGGCACCTCCCTGAGCCCAGTGTGCCCCTCCCCCATTCCTCCCTCCCCCTGGGACAGATGCCACTCGGCTAGTCACAGGGCCCCCTCACCCTGGGAAATGGCTGGAGGTTGCAGGGCCACCCCAGCCTGGCAGCAAGCGCCCTTGCTCAGAGCCCAGCCAGCTCAGCGGTTGCAGGGTCAGCTGGCCTGGCCATTCCTCTGGTGCTGAACCCAGCCCACGGCCTGCAGACACGGCCCCTCTGCCTCCCTGACCCCCTTCTCCTCCTCCCCCCTCCCCCCACTGCTAGGAGCAAAGAGACCCACCAGCAAGGCGTCCCTGGCTCTGAGCACCAGGGAAACCAAATAGCACTGAGCCAGGAGGTGCCCAGGCTGTGGGCTGGCTGGGTGCACTGCAATTGCACCCTGCCCAGGGCTCTTTGCAGTCCTGTAGCATGACAGGCTGGCTCAGCTGCCTCCTCTCTGGAAAGAGAGTGACTTTCAAGCCAGAGGAGAGGCACCGCCATTCCTGTGCTCACCTCTGGGGGAAGCCACAGAGATGTGCCCAACCCAGCCCAAATCTGGGCCTGGACTCCTGACTGCAGTGCTCTGCGCTCCTACACAGTGGCTGGGCTCTGGTGTGTGGAGCAGGCCCAGGCAGAGACAGGCTCCGCTGTGACCCAGGCCAGGTCCTGGAGCAGGACCTGGGTTTTGCTGCACGGTGCCCCCTCCTTGTCTCTTAGCTCCGAGGGGGTGCTGAGGCTGTGCGTCAAGAAGCCAGGCTCTTCACTGTTCTGTGACCCCAGGCAAGTCCCTTCCCCTCTCTGTGTCCCAGGCTCCCCCTCTCGGGGATGACATCCATGCCCTGGTGAGACTGGCAGGGCACAGGCACCTGCTACTACCTTGATTCCCCAGGTTGCAGAGTCGGGGGGCTCCGTCCGTCCCCCAGTGGGGCTGTAGCCCTGTCCGTGAGGCTGGCCCATTGCACACATACAATTCGAATGGCACGTCCTTCTCTGGGGCTGCGCATTGTACCGTGCCGGTGTCCACTGACCGCAGAGCCCAGCGCTCTGCACCCAGCCCACAGCCGGTCCACGTCAGGGCAGGGAACAGAGCTGCCGTTTGCTCCCGGCTGTGCGCTGACAGCTGCCCCTGTGCCGCCCGCAGATCCTGTCACGGTACGACATCGCCCTGGTGCAGGAGGTGCGGGACGCCGATCTCAGTGCCGTGACCAGCCTCCTGGACCAGCTCAACAGGTAACCTCCGGAGTGGGTGGCAGGGACATGTCTCAGTCCCCATCAGTGATTGTGACCAGAGTCCCAGGGGAGCCAACTGAGGTCGCTCAATCAGGGTGAACTGCAAAGAACGGGGCAGACAATCCCCAAAACTGGTGGATTTTCCAATACTTAGAGTTACCAAACCAGCACAAAACTGCTTCTATAATACCTCACTGGCTACCCAGAAGTCAATAACACAGTTCCCTTAAAGCAACCCGGCCTCAGGCCTCCACCCAGAAACCCAAGTCAGATATGATGAGAATTACTGAAAATCTTATTCATCATATAAGAAAGTGCTTAATCCAAAGGATCGGACACATCACCTTCCAGGTTAATGAATATTCCAGATCTTACCCAAATACATGCTACAGACAATTCTTATTCACTGAACTAAAATTTATTAAAAAAAAGAAGAGAGTATTGGTTAAAAGATCAATATACATACAGACATGAGTACAGTTCTTGAGATTAAATTCATAGTAGAGATGGTGAGCTTTGTAGTTGCAGAGTTCTTTCAGAATGAGTTCATAGGTTATAGTTCAATGTTTATATTCAGGGTGTTCCAGCTTAGGACTGGGATCTCAGCCTTACGACTTAAGCTTCCCCTGCATGAAGCATCATGCACGTCAGAGATAAAAAGGATTGGGACCCAAGGCATCTTTATACAGTTTCAGGCCTTCTTGTGATAGCTCAAGTCCTTAGGCAAACAATAGGCACTCAGGCGGACTTTGAAGTGGATCCATTTCCTAAGCATCGCTGGTAATTATCTACACAGATTAACGTAAGGCAAATGCCCGTTTTCCATCATTCTCAGGTGATTTGCTATACATTTGAAAGAGAGATGAACAAAGTGATATCCTATGTTTACAGTTCATTTAAATGTTAATTCCCTTTTGATCTCTGAATCAATAGCTATAGTGACACACAGGAACTGTCTGTTTTCCTGGCTAACATATACAAGATATAAGGATACACATACAATTACCATCCCCTCCATTTCTCTAACAATACAGGTTTGCATTTCAAAGTTCCAGCCTATCTAGTATGGAGTGGCCCTAATTACCATTCACACGTCTCTAATGGTTGACTCTGTGTCATTTATCCTGAAGGATGCTTAACGCTTTCTGGCCATACATCACACATTGTATAAGATTTGTTGCAATTATATAACAGTGGTAGCAACAATGATTTGAATGGTCATATTTTAATTAGACAATGTCACAGTGATAAACGAGGCCATAGAGCAGCCACCAGGCAAAGGGGCTAGCTCCATGCTCCAGGGTCTGGGAGGCTGAATCCAGCCTTGTCAGCACAAGGTCCTCAGCACAAGGTCCTCAGGACGGGGCCACGTATGCGTGCATAGGGCTGTGTCAGTGTCAGGAAGGGACTCGTGCCCTGTGCAGCAGCAGGTGGCGCATAACCATGTGTCCTAGGCCTGACAGTGAGAGAGTCTCCTTCAGCTTCTGCAGTTGGTGGGCGCGCAGAGGGCCCACACAAGAGTGCAAGCTGGAGATCAGCTGTGAAAGGTGCGAGCACAGGGCACAGGAGCATTGTGGGCTGGCTAATTAGCTGGTATCTGTAGGGAGAAGACCTGAGTGCCAAGTAAGTGCCTAGTGCCAGGACCCTCCTCCGCCCCACACAAAGTGCAGGGCAAAGGGGAGCAGAGGGAGAATAAAGTGGGGAATGGCTCATGAGGGACTGAAAGTGTTTATCTGTCAGGTCTGCGCCCAGGGCCTGGTTCCCTTGGCACTTTCGCTGGGTACATTGGGGGCACCCCACTGACACTGTCGGAGAGGGAGGCTCAGACCCGAGGCCAGCCTGTGAGGTCATCATCACTGTTCTCCTTTGTGTCCCCCCGCAGTGCATCGAAGCATCAGTACAGCTATGAGATCAGCGAGCCCCTGGGTCGGGAGAACTACATGGAGATGTACCTCTTCATCTACAGGTAACGGGGCTCACGGGAGAGGCTGGATCAGCAGCTGCCAGCCCGGAGACAGGCCTGGCTTGCCTCCCCCTGTGTACATCAGCAGCAACTCCTGGGGAACCTGACCCACGGCGTCTGTGGTGCTCCTGGCCTCACACAGAGTGGCCCCTTCATACCTCCTCTCAGGCCCCTTTAAGCTGGCAGGGTGGTGTAGAGGGGTCTTAGTTTAAACAAGACTGAGGCCCATAGTGTTTGGGCACAAGGCGATCTCATGGTCTGGGGAGAGTGAGGGCTGGGACCTGGGGGTCAGAGCTAAGGCCTTTTGCGTCACAGTAGCTGTGTATTTCCATGCTTCTAAACACATCCGTTGGGCAGCATGTCCCACATGCAGCATTTCCTGCCTGGGCAATATTTGCTTGGGGGACGTCATGGGACAAGCATCCCTCATCCCCTCTTGGGGCAGGGTGAGGTTTATTATTTCCCCGCAGCTGAGTCTGTACGATCACCCCTTGTCTTGGGACAGCGTAGCCAAGGGGCAAAAATCAATATGAGTGCCCTCCCTCAGGGCTGTGTGGCCCAACGGCCAGATTTAGTATATCTGCCCTCAGGGCCGCCCAGAGGATTCAGGGGGCCTGGGGCAAAGCAATTTCGGGGGCCCCTTCCATAAAAAAAAGTTGCAATACTATAGTAACATATATTTGGAAATGTAAAAAATAACCAGTGAAATACATTAAAAAATTAATTTGTAATAATTTGAAAATACACTAAATACATT